TGGGGTGCTAAGCGCGCACCATTTTTTCTCAATGGGTGCTCCAGCCCCAGAGCACCCATGGACTTGGCGCCTATGCTGGCAGGGGAGTGGGGACTAGTGAGTTAGAGCTGGGGGACTGGGCACCAGGACTCCTGGGTTCTATTTGATGTTCTCTCTCTCTCCTTTTCTTTAGCAGCCCCATCCTCCCTTCATCCTGAGCCCCGGAACGCTCATGCCCTCCCTTCCCTTCTCTCTTACAGCCGCTCTGCAGAGTGTCCCTGATTACAGGTAATATCTCATGTTGCTCCACCCCCGCCCCAGCTCTTCCCGCCCAGTTCCGCCCCCTCTACCAGGTGTGTCGCTTCCTTGCTCCTCTCCCTTACCCCTCAGCCTCCTGCATGCCACGAAACAGCTGATGACAGCAGTTGGGAGGTGCGGGAAGGGGGGGGGGGCAACGATCTACGAGGCCTGCTGGTGGATGGGAGGCACTTAGGGAGCTGAGGGGGAGCTGATAAGGGGGCTGACAGTGGGTGCTCAGCACCCACCATTTTTTCTCCATGGGTGCTCCAGCCCCAGAGCACCCATGGACTTGGCGCCTATGCTGGCAGGGGAGTGGGGACTAGTGAGTTAGAGCTGGGGGACTGGGCACCAGGACTCCTGGGTTCCATCCCCAGATCTGGGAGGGAAGTGGGAACTCGTGGGTTAGAGCAGGGGAGGGTGGAAGTCAGGACTCCTGGCTTCTAGTCCCCTCGCTGGGCAGGTCACTGGCCATGGCTATGCCTCGGTTTCCCCTCTGCAGGCTTGTGGTGTTGTCATTTCACATGGGCTAAAGTCTCGGCCACCCTCCCATAACGGCAGGGTCCGGGGAAGGGTAAACACTGTTCTTATTATCCGGCAAACCCCTTGTTTGGCCCGACTAGCTCATCATTCTTGTGGTATCAACACCATCTTGCTGTCAGTGCACTGATGTTATCTACGGCTTCCTCTCTGTTTGTCGGCGTAGCTGTTTCACTCATTTCCCCCAACGTGTTTTCCATCATCGCTGATTAAACCTTCCCCCCATGGTGCCCGTGCTGTGACCCAAAGACCTCGTGATGCCAGCTGATAAAGGGATCCCCTGGGTTCACCAAAGAACCCTCCCGTAAGGTATCTAGTGAAAGCCTGTTGCACTGGTCATCGTAAGCATTGCGACACGTGTATGGAAAATATGGAGAGAGTTATGTAGCTGTGATGAAAATGATGTTCTCTGGGTCACTCCACATAGTTCTGGCAGGCAAGGAGATGCTTAGGTCACACTGGCTGATCACGCATACACGGAGTCTTGTATCGTTCATGCTGAAGGCCCATTGGCGGGCTGAACAAATCAGTGGATGACACAGGATGGAGGGGGAAAAAACGCCACCGGGGGTGAAGCAATGAACTTTTGGGGCTACAGCTGGGTACACATGAGCCTCCCAGGCGTTCCCTCAGTCTGTCAGGACAAGCTGCCAACAGCTGAGAAACTGGATCAAATCGGAATCAGTCCCTGGTTGAGCTAGGAAAACATCCCATCTTGATTGAACTGGTCTAGATTTGTTAAACCTGTATGCCAAGTACACTTCTACCCTGATATAACTCAACCCGCTATAACACAAATTCGGATAGAACATGGTAAAGCAGCACTCTGGGGGGGCGGGACTGCACGCTCCGGGGGATCAAAGCAAGTTCGATGTAACGTGGAGGGAGGGGTAGCTCAGTGGTTTGAGCATTGGCCTGCTAAACCCAGGGTTGTCAGTTAGAAATTAATGGAGATATCCTATCTCCTAGAACTGGAAGGGACCCTGAAAGGTCATCAAGTCCAGCCCCCTGCCTTCACTAGCAGGACCAAGTACTGATTTTTGCCCCAGATCCCCAAGTGGCCCCCCTCAAGGACTGAACTCACAATCCTGGGTTTAGCAGGCTAATGCTCAAACCACTGAGCTATCCCTCCCCGAGTTCAATCCTTGAGGGGGCCATTTAGGGATCTCGGGCAAAAATCTGTCTGGGGATTGGTCCTGCTTTGAGCAGGGGGTTGGACTAGATGACCTCCTGAGGTGCCTTCCAATCTATGATTCTATAACGCAGTAAGATTTGTTGGCTCCCGAGGACAGCGTTCTATCGAGGTAGAGGTGTATAAAAAGCTAAAGGGTAAAAACCTAGGGGCAGGTGTGGGATTAATTTGAACTGTAGCAGCCCCGTGGTATCAGATGTTGTCGGGGCAAGAAAGGAAGTTGGGGAAAAGGGAGGAGGTGTGTACCCGACAGGTAATGAAAACTGAGCAACTAAAAGCCCAAAGTATTAACCAGGCTGCAACCCAGGACAAGTTGCAGGACTTCCAGGCAGAAAAGGGCGGAACGCACTCGCCTGGAAGCAACGGCTAAACAAGTACCAGTCCTTCAATGGCAGTGTGTCTATAAAAAATAAATTAAACAGTTAAAACGTCAGTCGACCGTGAGTTCGGTCCGGGCGGCGAGCCTCACGGGGGAGGATTCGGGTGACTCTTGTGACTGGCTTTAATCTCTTCCTTTGTGAGGATCGTCAATTTTGTGCAAAACCCTGTTGCACCCCTATAGCGGCCCTCATTAAGACTGAGGAGAGGTCCAGCGGGTGAAGAGGGGGGAGGTAGTATGTACAGCACCCCCATCTACGAGGAGAGCACCCTGTGGGGTGATTATAAAAAGGAAAGTGACCAGGAGGGGTGGGGCTAGTTAAAAAGCCCACCCTCCTTGCTAAATTGGTAGTAAAACGAAGCCTGTGCCCATAGAAAGAAACAGTGCAGCAAAAAAAAAAAAAGAATCGGTCCCAGACAAGCAGGCAGGCAACAAATAAAAAAATTAAAAAACAGCCTTAAGGGCATAGTGGCAAAAGCCAAAAAAAAAAAGCAAACATCAAACATTTAAATCCCTAAAATAGTACTTAAAATGGTAAAATCTAAGTTAATTAAGGTGTCATTTAAAAAAATAAGCAACTAATTTAAAATAAAATAAAAAATTAACTCTGCAAAGGCTAAAAAAAACCAAGGCAGTAAAATGTTATAAAAGTATTAAAAAAAACAACACCTTGGTTTCTTTGCAGCTATTCTAAAGGAAAATGGGCCCTTTCCCAAAGAAATGTCTGTAAATAATCCAGGCAATTCATCTGACGAAGTGGGCATTCGCCCACGAAAGCTTATGCTCCAATACATCTGTTAGTCTCTAAGGTGCCACAGGACTCTTTGCCGCTTTTTACAGATCCAGACTAACACGGCTGGATACTTGATACCAGGCAAAGAGGTTATCTTAGTAAAATCATTGAACTATAAACAAGTTAGTCGAATCTGCTAAAAAACCACTCCTGGTGTGTATAATCTTTGTGTCACAGGTTTAAAAAAAAATGGTGTTGTTTTAAATAACACCACTAAAATCCATTTAAATCTTCCATTCAAAACCGAGAAACACTTTTTGCCAAACACAGGTAATTGGTATTTAGCATTTAACCCTTAAGGTAACTCAGTGCTTTACAATATTGAAAATGCTTTTAACTACAAACCAAAGTCGTGGCTGCAGCAGGACAGTCAAAGCCAGAAGAAGAATAAAAAAAATTAAATTTGTTTTTAAAAAAAGCAAATAAAAGTTGTAGTAAAATATATATATATATATATGCCCCACACTCATCTTCAGGTGGCTCTGTGTAATCAAACTGTCACTTTGCCAAAGGGAGCCACAATAGGTTGTGGGGGTTTTTCAAATCACTGTGTGTTTTAAAAGCAAAAGTTAAAAGTTATAAATAATCAAAACTCTGGTAAAAGTTAATTGTGTCCCTTTTAAAACAAAGTCTCTAAGCTGCTAATAACCTTCAATCCAAAAGCAAGCTAAAAAGCATCTGTGTTAATGCAAACTACCATAAACTAATAAAGATTAAAGCCATTAAAATCTGACCTGCCTATAAAACAAACATGGGAAAATATGGGGGTAATTCCTCTGTTTTGCCTGCAATCAGCAACGGTATTTGTAAAATATATATATATATTTTAAGCAAAAATCTGCCACCCCTAAAGGGGTAAAAACATGTTCTTTTTGTCTTCCAAAAAATCAAAAAAAGCTAATACCAGCTAAAATGCAACCCAAACAAATACCATAGATCTACTGTCACAATAAAAATTATGTTTTGTGTTCTGTGTTTTATCCTGGTTGTTTGTTTTTGTTGCTAGCATGGTTGTGTATCAAATGCTGCAAAAAAACATCCTCCGGCAGCAAACAACATATTAAAAAAAATTGGTTTTAAAGCAAGAATTATCCATACTGTAAATCTAAAGGTAATTAAAAATAAATGAAGCTCTTTGTCCCAGCTACAGAACAGCCTAATAAAAAAACAAATAAAAATAAAAAACATACTGCTATAGCTAGAGAATGTACTAAAATGTAAATACTTGCTTTGTCCACCTTAAAACACAAAATGTTTTAAGTACTATCAAAAAACACTAAAGTTTTAATACACTTGTTAAAGCAAAGCAAAAAATTACTGTTTAATACTTATCAGTACAAATAAATGCAGTATGTTTCTAGCATAGTAAGGCCAAACCTTTTAATTAAAAAAAATTGTTGTTAAAATCGCACACCAACAGGCTCTAAAAGCAAAAATATAAAAAGTTAGCCCACTCCCCATATTACACATAAAATCCTTCTGGATACCTCGGACCTCGAGCCAGTGGGCTGGGGAGGGGAAAAAGCTATTAAATACCAGAGGTTGTACCAAGTGGACTCCTCAAAAGTGGGTGTGCTTGTCCTTGCCTATTGCTCCAAAGCCCTGTAGTAAAAATATTTCACTAAAATCCTGTATGTAAAATCAATTAAATAATAAAACCAAAATATTGTATAATAAGTAATGTGTATGTATTAATTCCTAAAAAAAGTTTTTTAAAAATAAAAATGTTAGCAACGCGCTAGTAAATAAATGTAAATGTAATGTAACTAGACCTCTACCCCGATATAACTCTGTCCTCGGGAGCCAAAAAATCTTACCGCGTTATAGGTGAAACCGCGTTATATCGAACTTGCTTTGATCCACCAGAGTGCGCAGCCCCGCCCACCTGGAGTGCTGCTTTACTGCATTATATCCGAATTCGTGTTATATCGGGTCGCGTTATATCGGGGTAGAGGTGTACTGTGTTTACCAATAATCACATTTATTGTTTACCACAACCAAAAAGTCTCAGCTTTGCCCAGTTAAAAAAAAAAGCTATGTAAAACCCATACGCTGTAAAGGCCGCTTTAAATTAAAAAAAAAGGCCAAGTGTAAAAGAATCATTGTTAAAAACATATGGGAAGGTGCCTTAAAAACACTGCATAGTCCAGATACACACAGCAGGGCCATAGCAAAATACCTGGTGGGTGGCCCCAAACCTCCCCTAAATCCCATAAAAACAAACCCTGTTCCTCCTGTTATAGCCTAAAGTAAAAGTCAAATAAAAAGCCCTTTAGCAAGCAATAGCAATTACTAATTTTGGAATGTAATATAGTTGTTGTAACCTCCTAAACCAGGCAAGCAACATTCATAACAAAAGCCAGGGAGGGCTGTGGTCAAACAGGGGAGGGATAGCTCAGTGGTTTAAGCATTGGCCTGCTAAACCCATGGTTATGAGCTCAATCCTTGAGGGGGCCATTGAGGGATCTGGAGCAAAAATCTCTTTGGGGATTGGTCCTGCTTTGAGCAGCGGGCTGGACTAGATGATCTCTTGAGGTCCCTTCTAACCCTGGTATTCTATGATAACTTTAAAAATATTTCATCAGTGCCTCAGTTTCCCCAATAAGGTGCATGTATGTGGTTCTCTTTGTTTTCCTTTTGCTTTGTTAACAGGACAAGGCAGTAATAGCGAGAGCCCAGGGACACCCTGAAGAGGAGTGGTAAAACCGCTCTTGCTGGTGCAGGCCTGCAGAATCCTTCATTGTAATACAATGTATGTATGGTGGCAAATTTTATCAATCACCAAATGGGAGGCAGTCACCTAGCATTGGACAATCATTTGCCTTTAAAGCACTTCCAAGTCCCAACCTTCCTCCCCAATTGTACTGGGGGTGCCACCCTCCAACTTGCCCTCCTTACCCAAATGTGGTTCCCCCCCACCCCCCAGAAAAGGCAGACCCTAGTGGGCTCCTTGTAAAACAGGGCCAATACGTCAGCTAGTATTTAAAATATTCAGCAAGGGGCCATCAAAAACAAACGGTTGGAACAATTAAAAAAGGCCCTAAAACTGGTCACAAGTGCAAATCTCACCCACCCGCCCTCCACCACACTGCCAAATTGGGCCTCCACACGCGGGATACCGTGCGGGGATTAATTAAAACCAAAATTAAGGCCGAAAACCAATTAGCATGAAATTTGGTGTGCTCCCCGCTCCTACAATATTTAACCCAACAAATCCGTAGCCTCCAGAAGAATGTGCTCCATAAAGCCCAAATCATCCCCTGTAAAATCCATCCCCACTCAAAAATTCCCCCCAAACAATGGCCTTTTCGCCACTTCTGGAGGCTCCCTAATTGGCAGTGCACCGCACAGCCTGTTCCTTCACAGCTTTTGGCCCCATGAAAGACGTGCGGGCCCTGCCATGAAAATCAGCCGGGCCTCTGGGAAGGCTGCCTCTGGGACTGGGTGGTCCATCGCGACGTGTGGGAGGTGGTGGCTCCCCCTAATGACAGGGCTAAGCGATATGGGCTGACTGCGTCCCCGGGCTATCAGCACATATAAATTGCAAAGGGCAACACCTGGCAGCTCTGGCCTATAAAGCCCCCTCAAATGGTGTGTACCGAGAGGGCAGTGCCAGGCTGCTTTTATAAGGTAGGTCCAGTGGTGAGCTGGAGCCAGTTCGCAAGAACCGGTTATTACATTTAGAAGCCGGTGTAGAACCAGTTCTTAAAGGGGCGGGCGAGTGGGCAAACTCCGGTCCGCGGGCCCACCTGAGCTCCCAGCTGGGGAGGCTCCCCCGGCCCCTCCCCCGCTTCCCTCCCGCAGAGCCCCAGCGCACCGCGCTGCCGGTGCCGGCGCCAGCGCTCTGGGCAGCTCTGCAGCTCCTGCCACTTTGAGCAGCATGGTAAGGGGGTGGGGCTGTGAGCTTCAGCGGCTGTGCGGCATCCTTACATAGCAGCATGGTAAGGGGGCCGGGCCGGGGCTGGGAGGAGGGGTTGGATAAGGGGCAGGGAGCAGTTGGAGGGGGCAGAGGTTCTGGGGGGGCCGTCAGGGGAGGGGAACAGGTGGGGCGATAGGTAGGCGTGGGAGTTCCGGGGGTCTGTCGGGGTGGTAGTGGATGGGGTCAGGGCAGTCAGAGGACAGGGAGCGGGGCGAGTTGGATGGGGGTGGGGTCCTGGGAGGCAGTTAGGGTGGGGAGTCTTGGGAGGGGGTGGTCAGGGAGACAAGGAGTGGGGGGTTGATGGGTTGTGGGTTCTGAGGGGGCAGTCGGGGTCAGGATGATGGGTTGGGGTCAGATGGGGGGGGGGAGACAGGCACGTGGGGCTCGTACTCACCGCGCGGTTCCCTACCGGGTCTTCGGCGGTACTTCGGCAACGAGGGGATGGGGTGTCTTCACTCACTCCGGGTGAAGTACCTGGACACCGAAAACCCGGAACGAGTGAAGACCCCCCCCCACACCTCCCCTGCCGCTGAAGTGCCGCCAAGGACCCGGTAGGGAACCAGTGCTTAGGATTTTGGGAGCTCGTCACTGGTAGGTCAACACCTCTGCTGGGACGGGGAGGCATCGGAATATGCCCCCGCTAAGGCCCATGTGTTTACCAATACCTCTGCCTGTGTTTGAAGAACCACCTACCCCAGGGTGCCTCTCTACTTACGATTAAAATCACAAACACAACAGTGTTTTTTTCAGTGCATTGGCCCACTGTTATGCAACAAATTGTTAACATTTCTAACTATGTGGTGTTTAATTTTTCAGAAATTACACCCAATGTTTTCCTGCCCTTAATGCACACCCGGAAACGACTAACCGTATTCCAAACAGATGCCTCCTCCTTTACAATATTGAATCTAAAGAAAGCTGCCCTTGCCACAGCCATTCGAGTGGGGCAGCTATACCAGCAGGGGGACGTGTTATGCTGTGTTACTAATAAAGCCAAAAGCCATTATTGGCTAGTGTATGCAATTGTTGCTGTTTTAATAATTTGGTGCATGCTGTATTGCTGCTTATGTAGAAGACCAATAGTAACCCTGGCCACCGTATCGGAAATGTTGCTTCGTGGTCAAGGGGGGGGGGACTGTCACACCCCCAGGGCCCCCTCTCCGTAGGGAGCCCCCCGGGAAGGTAAATCAGCACGGTATATTGCTAACGCCGTGGCAAGCGGAGGGTTAAAGGGGTGTAAGTGGAGAGTGAAAGTTTCCTTTGTAAGTAGGAGAGGCCGAAGGGGGGGGAAACGAAAAGCAAAGAATGGGGTAAACTCAACACTGCAGCAGGTGAACTCAGCCCAAAAATAAAACGCTGGCTCCCGCCCAAGGTCACGGCCCACAGCCAAGAAAAATGAGGGCCCCATAAAAAAAAAATTCTCAACTAAACAACCACAAAGCTATAAATAACGGCAAAACCAGTAAAGGCCAAAACAAACGAAAAACACCCCAGTCTTCGAAGCCAGAATGTCTTAGAAACTGGGGAGGCCACAGGCCTGTGCAAACTGGTCAACAAAGCGCCGGAAAAGAGGGCCCAAAACAAAAACACCCCCAAAAACTCCCAAAACTTAAAACCCTCCTAAAAGCTAAAGCAATTTGGAGAACACAGCAGATTCTTAAACGCCCTGGGCCCAGGACAGCACGCCTGTCCACCTTCCCCTTCTTTCTTCTGACGTTACACCCAGACCTGGCCAAGTCTGGGCAGTGCGTATATAAGTAGAAAAGTGGGTTAGGGCCTGGGGGCATTAACGCTTTCTTTCTTCCCCTGAGTGCCGTGGGAACGGTCCCAGCACTCTCTGCTGTCATTTTATTATTTTATCAATAAAGCTTTAACATGTAAACCCTTGGTGTGCCTGCCTCGTCATCTCCTCCCCCCAAAAAATCCTGCAGCATCAGCCTAATCAACTAACGTTCCAGGCAATTAGTAACACAAATCTGTCACATTGGGTTCGATTGCAGCTCTGGGAAGGAGTAGGGACTAGTGGTTAGAGCAGAGGGCTGGGAGCCAGGACTCCTGGGTTCTATCCCCAGCTCCGGGAGGGGACTGGGGTCTAGTGGGTTAGGGGGAGGCTAGGAGCCAGGACTCCTGGGTTCTAATCTGATTCTGAGACATCCCTCACCTCAGTGCAGGGGCTGACCTTGGTGATCTCTCAAGGTCCCTCCCAGCCCTACATTTCTATTCATGCGCTGCAGGGCTGTCCTCAGGCTACCCAAGCAAACCAGGGTAGGGTGACCAGACAGCAAGTGTGAAAAATCGGGACAGGTGGTGTGTGTGTGTGGGGTAGGGGGTAATAGAAACCTATATAAGAAAAAGACCCAAAAATCGGGACTGTCCCTATAAAATCGGGACATCTGGTCACCCTAAACCAGGGTGAGGGAGGTCAGTGAACGCTATGGGAAGTGACGGAGCTGAGTCAGTGCTTGCCGGCAGTGCTGGCCCCAGGGCAGCACTAGGGGGCGCTGTGCTGCTGGGAGTTGGGTGGGAGGCTCAGCAGGGGGCGTTTTCCCCTCGCAATCAGGGGATGCCATGATGCAGGGAGCAGGCGGGTGACTCAGCACCCTGGGAGCCTCTTTTCCAGCCTCAGTGCTGCAATCACATAACTCAACAGGAAGCCAGGACTCCTGGGTTTTATCCCCAGCTCTGAGTGGGGAGGAAAAGGGGTCTAGTGAGTTAGAGCTGAGGTCCGGGGCTGGGAGCCAGGACACCTGGGTTCTACTGCCGGTTCTGGGGGGGCAGTGGGGTCTAGTGAGTTAGAGCAAGGAGGGCTGGGAGCCAGGACTCCTGGGTTCTCTCCCCAGCTCAGGGTGTGGCAAAGATTTTAAGGATTAGATCAGGCCAGCAGGAATCCAGGGTTTTCTGCTATCTCAAGTCTCAGCACGCCTGGCAGGGGAGTTGACAAGGGAACAGACATTGCCTGAAGCACCCAACCCCAGCGGAGGACTGAGGCGTGTGTGGGTGGAATAGCCAGGTGTGGAGTCTCGTTCAGGAACATCGGTGGGCAGGCCACGGACTCTCCCGCCAGCACGTGCCAGCCGGGGCTCATCGGTGTCCCAAAGAAGGAGCCTCAGTTTAATAATTACAGACGCAAATGTTCCACGGTGGCCTCATTACAAGGGGTCTCCCTTCTCTTTCCATCGCTGTGCAACAAGGTCGGGGGCTGCTGAGGGCTCCAAACAGCAGCAGGAAACACCCCTGGCGAATGTAGGTGAGTCCCGCTCATGAGTATTAACAATACTAATATCAGGAGGAGGGGTGGGTTGGGGGTGCTAGGAAAACAATCCCTTATTTTTGAAATACCATGTTGGCAGAGAGGCCTGAGATCTCTGAGAGAAACCTCTATAATAGGATCATTTTCCATGAGCTGGGAAGGGGAGCCCAGGACTGGGCTAGCAGGGGCTGCGGGTCGGGAGTGAGGGGCACCGGCAGGGCTGGGAGGGGCCAAGGCTGGTCTAGCAGGGGGCTGCGGGTCAGAAGTGAGGGGCACCGGCAGGGCTGGGAGGGGTAAGGCTGGGCTAGCAGGGGCTGCGGGTCGGGAGTGAGGGGCACCGGCAGAGCTGTGGGGGGCAGGGCTGGGCTAGGAGGGGGCTGCGGTCGGGGAGTAAGGGGCACCGGCAGAGCTGGGGGGGCAGGGCAGGGCTAGCAGGGGCTGCGGGTCTGGAGTGAGGGGCAGAGGCGTGTGGAAGCTCTCAGAGCCCTCCAGTTTTTCTCTCTCAGAGGGCTGCAGGGGCCTTATCAGCCCCCAGCACCCATCCTGCGCTGTCATCTTTTCCCTGTGGGTGTCGGGAGCGGGCGGGGACAGGAGGAATGACAGTCTCCAGAAGCCACTTCTTCCAGCTCTGGGCGCTCCGAGGTGTGTCCCCACCCGCCCACCCCTCCCTGGGAGCCTACGGGATCGGCTGGGGGGATCCTGCCAACCCCGCCTGGCTGCTCCTCGGCCCAGCCCTGTGCTCCGGGGCCCCGTTACTCAGCGGCTCCAGTCCAGACGTGCCGAGCTTCCAGCCAGCCCCCACCCGCCTGGATTGGAGGCCTCTCAGTGGGGTACGTTGGGTTGGGAGTGAGGGGCACTGGCAGAGCTGGGCTGGCAGGGGGCTGTGGGTCGGGAGTAAGGGGCACTGGCAGAGTTGCGGGGGGGAGCCCAGAGCTGGGATAGAAGGGGGCTGCGTGTCAGGATTGAGGGGCATTGGCCTATCTGCGGGTCTTTCTTTCTTTCTGGAAAATACACTTTCAGTTTCTAATCTGTCTTCTCATACAAACCTCCTGTGTTCTTCCATCTATCCATCAGTCTATCCCCATAAACACCAGTCTCTCTTTCTTACCATCCATCCATCCCCATACGCTCTATCTATCTATCTATCTATCTATCTATCTATCTATCTATCTATCTATCTATCTATCTATCTATCTATCACTAGATGCCACTCCCTCTGTTGCATCTCAGCCCTTCTAACTTCATCTCCTCCCTCCCCCACAGAGAAATCTGTCCTGGCCCCACGCCCGATGCCACCATGAACAACTGCCTGCACACCTCAAGCAATGTCACCCTCCTGACGTCCTCGGTCTCCAGCATGACCGGAATCGTTTTCCTTCTCCTGGCCGCTCTGATCGGACTGCCGGGCAACCTCTTTGTGGTGTGGAGTATCCTGTGGAAGATGAAACCCAGCAGCCGTTCGGTCACCTGCCTGCTGGTCCTCAACCTGGCCATGGCTGACGGAGCCGTCCTCCTGCTCACGCCCTTCTTCATCCTCTTCCTCACTTTTAAGACCTGGTTCTTCAGCCTCGCCGTCTGCAAAGGCGTCTACTACCTCTGTTGTGTCAACATGTATGCCAGCATCTTCATCATCATGCTCATGAGCGTGGACCGCTGCTTGGCCGTCAGCCGGCCCTACCTCTCCCAAGCCATCCGCAAGAAGCGCCTGGTGGTCAAGATCTTGGCCGCCCTCTGGGCAGCGGCCATCTTGTTGGCCGTCCCGGCCTTTGTGTATCGCCAGCTGCTGTCGGACCCATCCGGGTGGCAGATCTGTGAGCCGTGCCATGCCACGCCGGGCCTGGCTGTCTTCCACTTCACCATGGAGACAGTGGTGGCCTTTGTGGTGCCCTTTGCAGTCATTGTGGGCTGCTACTCCACCATCTTGGTGCGGCTGCGGGGGCGGCGGTGGCACCGCCGGGGAGCACGGACAGGGAAGCTCATCGCCGCCGTGGTGCTCTGCTTTGCCGCCCTCTGGGTGCCCTACCACGTGGTCAACGTGCTGCAGGTGGCCTCCAACATAGCCTCGGGGAGGGCAGCGGAGATCCTGGGCCATGCGTGGAAGGCTGGCCGGGCGGGGGCCACCGCCCTGGCCTTCCTCAGCAGCAGCATTAACCCCGTCCTCTACGTCTTCGCCGCCGGGGATCTGATCAAGACCTCAGGGGCCAAATTCATTGCCCAGTTCTTCGAGGGGGCCTCCGGGGAGGTGCACAAGAAGTCGCCCTCCCAGAGGGACCTGGACAAGGACACAGTGGCAGGGGAGGGCGTGGAGATAGGGCAGCTGCAGGCAGGAGGGGAGGGGGCCAAGCAGGACGGGGCCGTGGGGCAATTGACACCCCCTGGACAGGGTCCATACCAAGCTGCATCCCCTTAGCCCTCACTGATGCAGTACTACTTGTTTACTGCCCTTGTGGGTGCTTTCCCTTTAAGGGTGGAGTTTCTGTCTGCCAACATGGTTTCTCATGGATACTTGCTCTTTAAGAGCAGTGTTTTACTGTCAGACTCCTGCTCATGGACACTTTCCCTTTAAGAGCAGGTCCTCATGGACACCTCCCCTTTAATTTGCTCTTAAAGGAGAGTTTCTCGCTGCCAAACATTTCTCACTGCCAGATTCTGGTCTTTGTGGATTCTTCCCCTTTAAGAGCAGAGTTTCTCACTGCCAGACTTTGGTCCTCCTGGACACTACCCCTTTAATTTGCTCTTAAAGGGGACTTTTTCATTGCCAAACATTTCTCTCTGCCAGATTCTGGTCCTCATAGGTGCTTCCCCTTTAATTTGCTCTTAAAGGGGAATTTCTTACTGCCAAACACTGCTGCCTTGCATTCTTGTGCCCCTCCTGTGTCATGGGACATGCCCTTCACAGGTGCAGTTTATCCCTGCCAGACTCCATCCAGCATGGAGACTTGTCCTTTAAGAGTGGACTTTCTCATTGCCAGACTCTGATCCTTAGGGAAACATCCCCTTTAAGGATACTGTTTCTCACTGCCAGAGTCCAAATTTCAGGGTTATTTTCCCTTCAAAGGGCATTTAAAGGGGAATGTCTTCGTGCTGGACTCCCATTCCCATGCTGTATTAATGGGAGCAAACTGCTGCCTCCTTGTGGTGAAATGTGGGCATTGCGATTCCAGGTCATAAACAAGAAAGACATAGGAACTGCCCCATGGCCCCGCCGGGTGGGGCCCAGAGCACACGCCGCTGTCCCTTGCCCCATGGACTCATACGGTTACCAATTGTAGGTGCCGTGAATACAGAGCAGCACCAGATCTGCCCAATAACCGCCTCTTATCTCACAGGCAGTGCAGAAGATAGGCCAGGCCAGCTCCTCACCTGATGTAATACAAAGGTTGTTATATGGGTAGCACTACTCAGTCGATGTTCCTGGGGGTCTATCCCCGGCTCTGGGAGGGCAGTGGTGTCTAGTGGTTAGAGCAGGGGGGCTGGGTGCCAGGATTCCTGGGTTCTATCCCTGACTCTGCCACTGATCTGCCATGAGTCCTTAGGTAAGAAACTTCCTCGCTCTGTGCCTCAGTTTCTCCTCCCATCCCTTGTCCA